GGGGCTGAGATAGGTGGATTTGTGGCTGCAGATTCTTTTTCGACTCGCTAGGTCATATACATTTCAAGGGTAAGGGAGGAGGGGATGAGGTGAGGGTATGGGTGGAAAGGAGGAACAGGTATGCTACTTTTTTTTGCTGCGGATACCCGCGGCAAGAAGAGGGCTGAAATATTGCTTGCTTCCAGAGTGCAGTTGTAGTGGGGATAGAAAGGAATTCAGATGTTGCTTTACGGGCAGGATTTTGAGACAAAAGGAGGGGAACAAGGATACAAGTTCGGAGCTCGAGACAAGAAAGGGAGCAGCAGTGAAGAAGAAGGCACAGCATAGCACTACAAAGACAAGTAAATTAAAACAAACCTGAGTCTATGAATAAAAGCAAGGTCAAAAGTCTGAAACTATGGATAAAGCAAAAAAGGAAGCAAAAGCAAAAAATTGAGAGTATGCGAGTGGAAATTGTCCTATAAAAACCTGTTGTCAGTAGGGGATTTCCCTATCTATGAAGCTGTTGATTAGCTGGAACGGGATATAAATTGGGCAAAAAATAGGTCAGTTTTTGCTTTCGTGAAGTTTTGAAGGCAAAAATCAGAGGTATGAGCAATGTGCACAGTCGCAGGCCACCGAATGCAATACACTGATTATGTGGAATTTTAAATTAAATCTAATCGAACTTATTCGCTGTCAGATTCACTTAAGCATTCATTTCATAAATAAAAAAGCTGACTACTGAAGTCGAGTAAGACAATTTCTACTGTCTCCAGTTCTTGCTTTGAGCTCCTGACTAGGACTCTTGTTCCTCTACCTTATGCTGTTTCCAATTCCTCTTATCCAGAGCGGTTCTGGGCACCCAAGAAAAATAATTGGCCAACCCACAGGCTGCCCGTGCAAAGATGCGTTTTTTGCAGAGTTCCCCGCAGTTTTAGTCGCTACCGGCATCGGTTTTATCGGCAGATGCTTCTAACTGAAAGAATTTCAGATTGGCCGCCGGAACTGTCAGGAAACATCCCCTCAAAATTCCAGTCTTCTAGCTTCTTACGTTCTCTAGTAAGTAACTAACCCGGAAGGAACTTTCCACGGGCCTGTACGTAGGTACCACGCTTACACGCGGGCAGGGTTTGAACTCATTAATACCCACTCAGACAGGGAACACCCCCCTAAGACTTCAGCTCTCTAGCTTCTCAGAACCCCGAGTCATGAATTTACGCGGGAAGAATTTTGAAGGGCTCGTACGCGAGTACCACGCTTACCCGAGGGCTGGATTTGAGCTCATTAGCAGCTGTTTGGG